ACGATATTGCCAGAACAACATGAAGACAGCCAATGACATCTCTAAACCAACACATTGATTCATTGAATATTTCGAGCTTGACTAGATTGTAATCAACTTTACGGTGACACTTACAGCTTATCTGTACACACATCATAGACCGAAATTATGAAAATCACAGTATTTTGACAAATGAATCAAGTAGCCATTGCAAAATATCAGTGTGCATTGCCTAGTGTGCAGTTATACTTCACAGAGAAGCTGTTAGTCTCACCGTAAAGTTGAATATATTCTAGTAAAGTCACACACGATTGATAAATGTTGCACGAAATATTCAATGATTCAATGAGTTGGTTTAGAGATGGCATTGACTACAATGTGGCAGGAGTCTTACATTTAAAATGTATTACGGCACTATATCTATGAAAGTAACTAATCTTTTATTTTCTCTTTTCTCCTTTCATTCTATCACCTAGCTCTTGCAATGATATTATGACAACCAAGGATCATCATACTAATTTAGTTTTATTGTCATTCTCTTCAAAATCTATTGTTTCGAGCAATTCTAATCGAACGACAGTTATTTGTTTTATTGATGCCAACAATTGGGAAATCCTTGAATCTCTTTAGAATAAAATATTTTGGTAGTTTTAGAACGCAGTGGCTAACACTTTTGAATTGGAATAATATTAAACCAAAAATAAATACTTATTCAAAAAAATAAATAAAATGAAATTTTATGAATGAAAACGAAGTAAAATAACGTTAACGATAAAATTGAGAAGTATTTGAACATTTAACGATGTTATATTCGTTTGAATTAGAATTTTATGGTCTTTGCTATTGAATTCTTTTGCAAAATTATTTGAAAACCAACGCTATGATTTTCGTTTTAAAGAGTAGTCAAAAACCGTCAACAATCACCAACGTAGCAAAACACAAGAAATGGAAATCATGGTAAAACAATTTTTGTGAACAAAACCGATCAGTTTTAATGTGAAAATTGTAAACAAAACAACAAATTCCCAGCGATAGCAACTTGAACATCGTTGCTGGCATTATGTTCGCTTTGTTCGTAAATTGTTAAAGCATGCAAAGTATTTTGTGTACCGAAAAGGAAGAGCATCGAATATGGGTAATGATCAGTTTTCTCCTAAAATGAAATCGAAATAAGAAAAAAAACATCACGCCGCTCGCTATAAAATCCATATTCATTTCCGCCGTGGTTTTGTTGTTCAATTTCATTCTCTTGTGCAGTATGTGTTGTGTATTGCCCTTGAAAGGTAGGAAGCAAATCATTAAAATTTATCATGATTTTGATTGTCTACGTTTTCAGTTTTGTTTTTCTCTTCTCCATTTATAGCCAGCAGAAGTAATTTTCTATAATTTCAAGAATTTCATGAATAAATCAGCAAACACCATATTTGCTTCATTTTTCCCCAACAATGTATTTTTCTTTCTTTCTTTCTTGCCATTTCATGCGTGAGCTCGGCTAAGACGTCAATATGATTACGTGGAGATTTTAATTGCTGCCAATTCATACATTTTCCGAAAAGGGAAATCTTCAATTTACGTGCGCAAAGGGAAATTCACAGCTAGAAAGAAGAAGAAGCAGCAGCAGCAGCAACTGCAAAAAAATGCGTTTTTGTCCGTGGTTTTTCGACGAAGTCATTCGAAAATGTAATCTAAATTGATCATGAAAACACCTTCGTGAAATAGAAACTGAAGTGCGCACAAAACTGCCACACATACACATACCATGCCGTTACGCGCGTGCAATCAAACAAGAGAATCATCATTATTTTCTAGTTACATTTTAATCGAAGCAGCAATGAATAAGAAAATTGGCTGTGCGATCCAATGTTAAAAGCCTCCCGAAATGAAAGACACATTTGGCGCGAAACAGCAGCATATCGAGATGATGTTGAAAAAGAAAAAAGAAGAGAAAAACAACAAGAACCACGAACAAATGCATGCCATGCTGTATGGCTATTGTTTATCCAAACTTCATGATGTTTGTATTGCTTTGCGAAAGATTTGTTTTGGATTTCCATTCAAGTGTATTCAGTTTTTTTGCTGCTGCTATTGTTGTTGTTTCTATCTTCGTTCGTTCGTGAAACAATGCATTTAATTCATTTAATTTGATGCGTATAGCTCGCATCGCTTGCATACTTGTTTATTGTTCATCGATCTCGGTACGGTTCGATGCTATTAAAATGGGTACCTCTTCGTGTACTCCATTGCGTTTCGCGAACGCGACTTATGATTTGATTTTGATACAAACGCGCGCAAAAAAACGTACACTAAATCCACTATTGAAAACCATTACGCTCGAAGTGCCCCGAACCTAGCCAGTACACAGCAGAAGCAACGAAGGAAAAAAATCTCGCACTTTTCGAATGCCATACTACAAAAGATGAAAGAAAACGGCAAACACATTGAAAACTATGTAGAAAATAGTGCACACCATGCAGTGCGAGGCATTGCGCGATCGTGTGCACGGCATTGAAATGAGACCGAATAATCCATAAATAAGAATGATGGTGAGTACTGCACACCCACACACTCGACAAAGAGATATGCCAACTCGAAAAACCAATCGGAAAGAAGAAGATAACAACAGCACATTGTACGTGTGTGTAAATCAGAGCAAAAGCAGATGAGCTGCCAAGAAGTGTTCGAGCTTCCGAAAATTGTTCCTATAAAAGCAAAGAGAAACTACGGCCGTGGATTCATTTGGTGTTCAGAAATCGTGAAAGCAATATGATTCGTTATAAATTTTTATTATTTTTAATTGTAAGTATTGGAAAATTGATAAAGAAGCGAGAGCGAAAGAAAATAAAGAAAGTGGTGTCGAAATGAATTTGACTTGCGTTCAAAAGAGGATTGGCCACACAAGGATTAGGCCTCCGCTTAAGAACAGCAAAGTGAAGAGCTGTACAGACACGTGTCATTTCAAATGAAAAGCGGACTAAATTGGATAAATTTTAAAGGAAAATTGATTGAAAAAGCCGTAGGCAAATTGTTTCAAAATTAGCTGTTTTTCAAAGTGATTTACTATTTAAAGTGGAGAATGGAGAAAGAAAAAAGTAAAAGAAGATTATTTAAATTGTGATTTCTCCGAAGAAAAAAAACCAAGTGTTTGAACATAAACTATGAATTAAAATCGATAAAAGCGATCAATTTCCATTTCATTTCATTTCTTCGAGTGTTTAGATGAGTTTATCATTGGTTTATTCTTTTTCTTCTATTTTCTTCCGTTCAATTCACGCTTTAGCTGTTACCCATATTAACAAAATCAAAAAATGTTCGTCCAAACTATCCATCATCGTTTGAAGATGATGAAAATGCACCATTGCCCTTTTTGGATCAAGTAGCACAAGCAGACACATGGAAATCGCAAAATCGAGTAATATCGGCTACATACTCTGGAGATCCACAAACAGGTAAGTGAAATTTTACACCATCACACCTGTGGCCAAAACACCGCATCGCATTTCGTGTGCATCGCAAGTGAAAATAAATTTAATCTGTTTGTTTGAATTAATTGTTAGGTCGCGTTGATCATGCGAATCTGGTTATTAATGTGGTACCACGCGCAAATGGAAAGCCAGCCGATGTTGATTTATACGCTTCACAAACTTTGGCCAATGCAAAAACGGCCGAAGATTATGTGAACAAAGCACTCGAAATGAAAAATAAATATGAACACACCACACCGTCTTCATCGTTTGTAAAATATGATATTTATGAAGCGGAAAAAACCAAATTGATGCCAGTCATATCGACGCCGAGCCACGTAACTGAACCAATGTCACACAAAGAAGATATTTCCGATATGGCCAAATCGGCCAGTGATTATTCCAGTGAGTTTTCATTTGACCAGCCACAAGAATATGTGCATCAAACCACAACAACAACGTACAAGCATCCAGCATTATCCACTCATTTCAAAGACTTGGATTCGTCCAATTCCAACTATAATCAAAATTACAATTATTTATCGTCCATCCAACACCACTATGATCCATATGATTCGATTAAAAACCTGCATTCATACGATCCCATCAAACACATAAACCATGATAATCGCCAAAATATGGATGATGCGATGCGCAAATTGGTCGGATACCCAAGCAAAGAGGATATGATCAAGTACATTGAACGAGCCGTGAAAAAGTACCTTAAAGAATTGGATTTACCTGGAAAATTGCAATCACCGTCACCATCGTTTGCACCCTCATTCCCATTTTCGTCATCTTCGTCATTTTCCCCATTGAGCGGATCACCAAGTGCACAGGCTGAAATCAAAACCTATTATCGTTTCCCATCGTCGACAACCGCCAGCCCAATCGAATCAACGAAATTGTACAGCGCTGGAATCCATTCGGAATTTTTCAAGCCCAGCAAAGGTAGTGCTTCGAAACCGACCTACGCTACAGTGAAACCATTCGTAATTGATTCATATTCTCCGGATGGTGTTGATTTGACCATACCGAGCATTACGAGCAAGAAGCGGCCAAAACCACTCGATCTATCAGCTCTTGATGTGGGCCAATCGTGGCAACACTCGACATCATCACACCAAGAACCCCCAGTCACTTATCGCAAGAAGAAGAAGTCAAAACTTCATTTGAATTCACAAACTTATCACGACATAAACGCTCTTCCATATTTACCGAATCGCGGACTCATCTACGATGAATACAGTCCATTTTCAACGGCAACGTCGATCATTGATCACCCCAGCGGCAGCAGCCATTATTCATCGCACAAGGATCATGCGGTAGGCGCATCAATTTCGTTTGGCGATCATGCACACGGCGAACACCGTCACCGTCATCGGCACCATGGCAAAGGACATCACCATCATCATCATAGTTCACATTCGCACCACAATGACGACGAGAAATCAGCATTTGTTCCTTCAATGCAAGTAGTCAACGGCATTCCCGTCCAAAACCCATATAAATTCAATATGGATTCATTAAAGTAGATTTTTGAATTTGCGCTCATGTTTGAGTTCGTTTGGATCTAATCGAATAATTTTCGTTTTTTTTCCCTCCACATTTCCAGTGACATATTTGACAATAATGCAGACAAATCGAAATTTTCATATACCGAAGACTTTGGTCCGTCCACTGGAGCGATTTGGAATCCATACAACATCGACCTGAACTCACTCACCAAAGACAACTCGGGCAGCGGCAGCAGTACCAGTTTCTCATTCGACAGCTATAATCCCAAGTTCAATAACAATCCGGAGGATTCATTTTTCGAAAATTATCGATTCGGCGTCTCTGATTGGGAAACCGATTATTCACCTCGTCAACGGGGCACCATCGGCTCTGACATGTTTACAAGTGGCTCAGCGCCACGATCGAAGAAAGTCACATCGCCGAACAGTAAACGAGCTGTTACAAAAATTATTGCGAAACCAAAGCAACGAACTCCAAAGCGAATCACCCCCAATAAAGAACCGGATAGAGATTTAGTGCCACCACCAAAGAAATAAGCACCAAATTTATCACGAATGTAATTTAAATACCAAAGATAGAAGAGAGATATGTATTTGTATATTTCGAATATTCATTATCGTTTATTAACATTCAGGAACATTTTTGGTTAAACGAAGTCAATTGCAACCAAATTTCGTATCAGTAGAGCTGGAATTATTCACCAGCAGATTGCGTACGCTGATACCGCGCGAAAATTCAAAGTCTGTAAACCACAAGTGAAAAAGCACAATGAAAGAAAACTTGCCATTATTTATATATCTATTTAGCGCTAAATTTCCATGGCTCATCATTTAACTCGCGATCACTCGTAAATGTATCAAGCGTATCATTCGCATCTCGATCTAGACTTCTATTCGAATTTATTGACGTGAATTCTTACTTAAAATTCGAACAAATAAACCAAAAACTCACTCAATCACTCACTCGTTGGTTTTCATTGTGCTTTTCATTGTGATCTTTTGATGCAGAATAAATTCAGCACCTTTTGCTAGTGCTAGACCAAATAATTCGGTGTAACGACTATTTAACATAATTATTATAATTCGCGTCAATTTTGTACAGAATTTTAGAATGAATTAAGAGTTAATGGAGTACTTAGGTTTTTAGAAATAAAAAATTTATAGTTCAATTAAAGATGAATCAAGCCACAAACGATTAATGCAGTTTCTTTTTATGTTTCGTTCTTTAAATTTTATTTCCCACTAGCCGAATCGGCACCATTTTTTGCGAAAAGGGAGGCTTTTTGTGATGAATATGTTTCTCCTATTTTCCACCAAAAATGTAAAAATCGAATGGAATTTATTTAAGTTTTGCGCATTTTTTAAGCTTCAAGAGTGTATGTTTTTTTGTAAAACAGAAACATATTTTCAAGCTCTATGCGTAAAATAGCCTCGTTTCAGGCGCTTTTCGTTTGCTTGTTCGAAAAGCCAAAACTTTCGAAATTATATAAAACTACGAACAAGAAGATTTTATAATTCATATAAATAAGGTAGGCTAGGATAATTTTTGTTCAACTTTACTCATTCATATAGTCTTCCAACTTTCTCTTAATTCAATTTAAAATCAATCGTGCACATTGCAATTAAACTACTCGACATAAACTTGAATAGGCTGTAATGAGCAATGATTTATCACCAAAGTAACATCAATGTTACACCTGAACCAATGCCGGCAGAAGCCAGCTACGAATGTGCGCTGCACACTTTCATAATACAAACTAATGGTCTTCGGCGACAAATCAATTGTGTCGAATGCAACGCTGACATATAATGATTACCGCAATTAATTACGAGAGCAAATCGACGGGCAGTGAAATTCTTGTGGAGGAAAAAAATTGTACCACGAAGTCAGTTGCAACAAAAAGGCTAACATTAATTGCCCATGACTATGGTGTCATTTGTCCGTAAAATGATCAGATTTTTCAGGCATATTTACCTTCAAGATTATACATTACACATGTCGCTATGCGCCGCGAATGAAACAAGTGTTGATCCATTCGAGGCGTTATTACGTCGTGCAATATTACTTTCGATTTCATTCAGCTACATATACCTGCTATTCCACGTTGACTAAATTACAAAGCAGCAGATTGCAAATCGTGACGGCGGTCGTGCGAGCAACTGTTATACATAAAATATAACCGTAAATTAGGTATTTTTATTGAACTTGAACTCGTATTCGGTGCGATGCACTGCACAAAATGATGATGAAAGAAGAAAACAAGACCGCAGAGCATCGTTTCGCTCTGCTCTGCGTTCTTGAGATTATAGTTACTTATTCTATTTTGTTGTTTAACAACAAACTTTTTTTTGGCGCACTACGTGAAATGTATTTCATCAAAGTAACTTTGAAGAAATATATTTATTTGCAACAAAGTACAGAAAAAAAAATTCTCAGTTATTTCAAAAATGAATTACAAGATCTTGGTTTTATTTCTTTTTTGAAATATAATGCCTTTGGTTAAAATCAAATAAATAATATGAGCATGGATCTGAAGTCACTTTAATTCTGTTCAAGACCCAGAAAATACTGTACGAAAAAAGCTTGAAATAATGTAATTTTAAAAAAAACATTTTATCATAAAAATTTGATTATTTTGAGATATTATGCACCTATTCGTCGTTACTGCCACTGTTTAAAATTAAAAAAAAAATATGAGCATAAAATTCAAATTCACCCTAATTTGTTTCAGTACTCAAAAATTATTAAGACAAAAAACAGATTAGTAGCTCTACATTTCATGTAGTGCTAAAAAAACGCGCACGGTGTCTCATTGGAGCATGAATTGCACCGCACGCATTGCATAGTGTGATGAACAGTGGATCGAATCGCGCCCATTGATGTTTGTTTCGAGTTGATGCATTGAGCAACAATCTTCGACTGGTTATTGTGGTATTTATGATGACTTTTACTTTCTTTGCTGTTATTTAAATCGGTTTTTCGACGACATTAAATTATAACACGATTATTGAAAGTACATTGAAATAGATTGAGTTGAGTAAATGGATGCTGATGAATTTTTTTTGGATCGACGTTGTTCGCGTGGTTGCTTTTTATTTGAGCGTCTTAACAACGGTTTTCGATTACTGCATCAAGAAGTAGAAAGAGAAAGAGATTGTATGGCCAATCTGTTGTCGTAAAATTGAATATGCGCCACTCTTATGTGCAGACACTGATTAGAAGAAATAAAAATGTTTACAGTTTGGAACAATAAAGTGTATCGTTAAAACAGCCATTTTTTTCTTCTTGTAAATTACATCACTTTTACAGCTTAACCATTCACTCTGTATGCAAAACTAAATATTTGGTTATTTTGATGTTATTTTGCAAGCGATTTGTGCGGCGCAAAGTCACATGGGAAATTGCTTCTCTCAAAGGGAACGGCAAAAATCAATTAATTGCGTATAAATAAATCGTTTTACATAAGAGCAACTAATGAATCGAAAATGGTCGATTTGACAAAGTCAAAATTTCTTGTTTTTGTGTCGTTTGATAAATGTGTTGTTTGTTTTCCTCTTTTTTGTTTACCAACTCCAACTCGGTTGTGTCGTTCCGTGCACGGTAATCATTTCAAATATATATAATCAAACAATATGTTCAATTTGACTTTCGTTTGATGATCACTGGTTTTTTTTTATTTTGTGTGTTCGAGTAATTTCAAGTGAATTTTCCGTGAATAGAAATCAATATTTCCAATGTACTGTATTGTTGCTAGTTTACATACGCTCCATGAAATTCTCATCGTATTCGAATAGAAAAAAACAAACGAAAATCGAAAATTGAAAACGTGCACACATAGCGCAGCACATATACAGAGAGGAAAGAAAGCGGAATACCGAGCCAGCCGAGACAACGAGAAGAAGATAACAAGAAAAATAATGATTTCAGGAAATGCAAAAAAGATGTGGTAACTAATACATGCACACATGCCTGTGCGCCATGACACATTTACAAGATAGATGATAGGAAAATTCAGTTCTGCGCGCAGAGCAGCAGCAATAGCAACCGCCACAGAAAACGAGGTGTGAAATCGGATCTTTTACGAGCATGTTCGAAAACAGATATGTATTATACACGCAACAACGCCAATGCATTACGTCTCCATTTCCTCTATACGAAGCGATCAATTGCTATTGTTTTTACTTCTTGCACTGAACGCATTTGCATCCGAGCCATTTAAATTGTGTATAATACCACGGCGATTAGGTTTGCTCTATGAAACTGAACGAAAATGCACATTTCTTGTGACTGACATTGTCTTTGCTTTTTGCGCACTCAATTGAGTTTTTTCTTCTTCTTGTAGTTCACGTTTGGATCGAACCATCGAATTGAAATACAATGAAACGATAAATTGTAACAATAATGAAAAGCCTTTTCCAATTTATAATATACTCAGTACACTCAGTATGATAATGATTTTCGTTTGAAGATTGTTATAGATTACCGTTTTTTTTTTCGTTTGCATTGTTTCAGACCCCATAAAATCATGTATTATGTGAGCACAGAGCATGTGCGGGCGCGCGCATTTAATCGGAAAAAGCTTTAAAATCAAGCAATATGTATAGCATAGAAACGGCAACAGAAAAAAAGAAACGAGTTTTAATTTCGCCTCATTACACATGCGAATTTTTCCACAACGAAAAATTGTTCTTCTGGAAACGAAACCGTAACACTAACCCAATGCAACAATCATCATCGAGTAAGGGAAACATTTACACGAAAAAAGGCGGCCAAACAGAACTAACATAATTGCGACGATGACGACGGTGGTAATTGACTCGATGTTTGAACATTTTTTTCGGAATATGCCGACTTATGACACAACCAAATTAAAATCATTCTGAACGCGCAATAATGGTCTCGAAATGCTGGAGGAAAATATTTTTCGTATCACCATATCGTCGCAATAGCATAATCAAAATGAAGAGCAAAACGAAATGAATCATCACCAAACTCGTTTGGTCATCAAAATCATTGTCGAGGATCAATATGCATCCGTTTGGTGAAGTAAGTGATTAAACACGGCTCTTCCTTTTTGTTGTTTTCTCTTCTCATTCTGCGGCTCTGTTGCCAAAACCAGTCCGATCGATAGCACACGATACATGAAAGTTATCATTATTATCAATAACAGTTTATGACTTTGTCTAATTGCCGCACCAAGCGTGTTTCTTTTTCGTTGCGTCTATTTATGTGCATTTTTTTTCTCCTGCATTGCCGTTGTTTATTTGCTTTCATCCAATTTGAGTAATCGACGTTATTTTTTCTCTAACGAAATTTGAAAATCAAGTTCTTTCCCATTGCCTCACCGCGGATTCGTTTCCGAAGTTTGAACGAAAGAAAAACCAACTCGCATCAGGTCCATAACAGACATTAATCGGTGCGCTGAATCAATCGTTACATATGATTTTGTAAAACGTGGCGCAAACGTAATCTCGTCAGAGATTAAATCATGAACACATCGGAACACATGCGGTCGTATGTGTGTGCAAGTGAAAACAACGGGGAATTTATGTTTCGCGCCGAATGCACTTGCCAAGCGACGACGGTGGCTCGACGGCAATAGCACAAATGAGAGGGGTCAACTAATTTTTTTTAGTATATATAGAGCCATGCTCTAACCATTTCGTACATTCAACTTTTGGAAATTTCTTGAAGCGGTTGTGGCTTCGATTTTCATCGTGCAGTGTACAATTGAATAACGTTAAAAAAAAGATTTCGAGTTCTTAACGAAGGAAAGAAAGAAATAAAAAGTAAAAGTGCAACGAAGTCGATACAATTCTTGTGATTTATTAAACTAGCTGAAAATGTTGAAAATTTTTGTAAGTGTGGAACCAACAGTGCGAAAACGGAATTTTGTTTTTTTTTTCTTTTGAGGCATTTGTTATAGTTTTTAGTTTTCAATTTCACTTTTGGTTTTAAAAATGTGTAGATTTTGTGCTCATTATTCGCTCTTTCGCTGGCTGGAGTTATCCACGATGCGGAACCATTGGAATCGGAAACAGATCATCATCATAAAATCGATCATGAGCATGCCACATCTCATCAAAGTTTTAAAATTCACCATTTCCATGCTGTGCCAGTCTATGTGAAACACGAAGATGCACACTATTTGAAGAATCCCATTGAAGTCGGTGGTGTGAAACATAAGCTTAAGGTATGATAGATATTGTCGTAGAAATTCTCATTCATTCGACTCATTTTATAATGAGTCGGGGATAAAAAACACAAGACCGCAGAGTGTCGCTTTGCTCCCTTCTGCGTTCTTGAGATTTTAGTTACTTATTCTATTTTGTTGTTTCACAACAAACTAATTTTTTGCGCACTACATGAAATGTATTTCATCGAAGTAACCTTGCAGTAAAGTATCATTAAAAGTCGTCCCTTTTAATAACACTATGGATTAAAAGCATAGTACGAAGGATATATATTTACAACAAAGTAGGTGCAGAAAAAAGATTTTCTCAGTTATCTCAATAATGAATTACAAGATCTTGGTTTAAATTCTTTTTTGAAAGACACTGCCTCTGGTTAAAATTGAATATGGGCATAAAATTCAATTTCACCATAATTTGTTTCAGTAGTCAAAAAGTATTAGGACAAAAAAAAGCCGATTAATAGCTCTACATTTCATGTAGTGCTAATAACAATGAAACACGTAAATTTGTTTCTCCAGCGTAATTTTCATGTTCGTGCATTCATAATGTTCCATAAAATACATCCGTTCAAATAATTGTAATATTTGAATACTTAATTAAATTGTCCCATTTCCATAAAAAAAAAATAGGTGCTTCATCCAAAAACCGAACACAGTCATTCGTACGGATTAGAATTGGAGAATGAAACCGACCACAAGGATTACACTTTGCATGGATATAGCGGTGATCATGGATACAGTGGTGGTGATCATTATGATGGGTCACAACAACATCACACATACGAAACAATAGAACAGCAGTCCGATTACGATGGTGGTTCGTTGGGAAGTGCTAGCGAACCAAAAGAATTGAGCCACCATCAATTCCAAGACATCACCGTTCATCACGGGCATGACCAATGAACCCACTGAGAATCATACACACCAAAATTGAATTTTATTTATGTAACATTTGCTTGTATTTTAGACGCCCAATTAAGAGTTTTCACTCAAAAAGCTTAATCTCAAGAGTAAAGAAGAAAAAGAAAGAAACTCATTAAAATAGAAAATAAAGTGAAACGATGAAACGAGCACAACATTGAGTTTGCCTTTATTTTTTTTTTAATTCAAATCTAAACACCAAATTGGTGTTGTCAATGCAGATCAACACTACTGTCAACTGTCAAATGCCCAATGCTCATGCCAATGAGTGAAGAAAGAGAAAAACAATCGATTTTAATTCAGCTGAAAGAGACCTTAATCACGGTATGGCTGGTGGTGCCCACTTTGGAAAAATTGCAACTGGGTGGTAAGCATTGTGTTTGTAAGTGGATTTAAATTTAAGATTTTTAACAAATAATTCCCGTCTTGCATGCGAATGTTGAAAAATAATAACATTTCGGCTTTTGTGTTGGAATTCGCATTAATCACTGATTGAGGTTATGTTTGTATGATGTTTTCATGTTTTGCCTCTTATTCTCACTTTCATCTCAATCAAGGCTAATCTAAAATAATTATTTGGTTTCAGGATGATTCTTGTTGGAGTGAGCTTTTCGGCACTTTATTATTCAAAGAAATCTATTGACGCTCGTCGCTACGAAAACTATAAAATTCGACAACGAATGCTAGAGGCTAACACAGGCGAATACGTTCGACCAGATAAATACGTGTACAAACCAGACAAACAAAAGCATTAAAATTGTAATCGAAACAACAAGAAAATCCAAATCAAAGTGAGAAAAAATGGCACAAATGAACGCAGCCGATCAAGCAAAACTGCAAATGATGCAGGACATGGAAATCGAAATGATGTCCGATTTGTACAATCGCATGACACAGGCATGTCACAAAAAGTGCATACCACCGAAGTACGGAGAGTCTGAACTTGGCAAAGGTGAGGCTGTCTGTCTGGATCGATGTGTAGCCAAATATTTGGACATTCACGAACGCATTGGCAAAAAATTAACAGCAATGTCAATGCAGGATGAAGATTTACTTAAGAAAATGAACGGATAAACGGTCTGCTAGAAATAATGTTGTTCATTAGAAATTTAAAACAATAAAAAAAAAACCATATATTGTGCACAGAAAAAATAATTCTAATAAATAGTTGCATTGCCAAAAGAAATCGAAAATATTTCATTTGATTTACATAAGTTGGATCTGTCAGTTGCATGCATAAAATGTATGGTTAGGTCTTTAGCTTTTACTGCTGCTCATTTTGACAATTCGTAGCTCAAATTTGACAAAAGTTATAAATAGAAGTATTGCCAGCGTTGAATGACTTTTCCAATAAATGACAAAAACTTCGATTTGTTCCAAGTCAATGCCCAATTTACTGCGAAATTTTGTGAGTTAGATTATTTGGCTGACAACTATCTCATCAGAAATTAAAATTAAGCGTTCACAATGCGGTTTTAATTGAATTCAAACGGCGATAATCAGCGCGACCAGTAGCACCCTCCCTATCCAAATGTCACAGCTGCTGTACGAATAAACATCATTGCAATACATAATATAACCATAGTCATTCTTGTCTTGGCACCAAGAAAAGAAAAAGAATTTTTTTTTGCATATTACGACAGGAGAAAAGTCAGCCAGTGTTAAAACATAGCGAACAAAACGTGAATTTTCATATCAATTTATTACTGCGTTCATTTGGCATTGTTTTGCAGTGTGTACATCAACAAATATTGGCAGAAAACTTTTTGTAGAAATCATTTTTTTGTCTTTGGTTTCAATCGATTATGACGGAGACAAGGCACAGATGAATTGACACAAACATGCAGTAGGCATGAAGATATTCGATTTAAGTTCGTAAATTTTACTCTGATTGGTGGTGTGAATTGTGTATGTGAAGACAGATATCTGACGATTAACAAAAAATTGTTCTTTTTTTTTACATTCATACAACATTTTAATTAAAGAAATAGGCAAATATTACATAGGTGTACAGGTCGGTCGCAAATTGAACTCATGCTGTACGGTTGAATGAACTACCATTAAAATCGTAGTGACCACGGATTGGTTATTTTGGTTAATGCATGCAACACACAATAGTCAATCGACAATTTATTAGCTATCGATTGTTAAAATGCCAAACAAAGAGAAAACGGTAAAAACGGTGCCAAAATCAAATGGCAATGATGCAATCCGAACGGAACCAACATCCACTGATGTGATGATCGCGACAGATGTCAAAAAGGGGACAAGCAATAAGAAACGTGAAAAGCATAAAAATAAACAAGCAATCAAAGCAAACAATAATGCGGCAACAGCAAGCGAAAATGGATTGAATGCAACATCAACAACAGCAGCAGCAGCAGCAACCACAAAGGCCAATGACCATAATGAATCCGATATTTGTGCTGTCAGCGAAGAGCTATTGAGGCGTTTGCAGTGTAATGGGATTTCAGTGCGTCGATCTGATGGTCCAGTCAACCAGCAAAACGCAATCAAACAAGGCGAAAATAATGGCTCCACGGACAAATCAAACCCACAACAAAAGTCAAAGCAGTTGAACAATAACAACAATAGCAAAGCTCACAATAAAAATTGCCAAAATCAAAGCAAAACGGTGAAAAATGTAAATACTAGTTCTTATAATGTTGAGATTAGTTCCGACGACGGGCAAACTGTACAATGTAATGGCATGCATGCGAACCAACCAAGTGATGTGAATCATGAAGTGGTGACTGATTCTTTTGAAGCAAAATCACAAACTTTACCCGAGCAAACCGAAGCAGCTACGACATCCAAAGACATTTCTGCTGAAACACCATCGTGTAGTAGTCACCAGCAACAGCAACAACAACAGCAACATTATAGCAATTTACCGTCAACATCAACATCGCATCCGAGTGAATGTACACTCCCATCGTCGTTACCAAGAACCGCTTTGTCCGTGAAAAGCATCAAAACCTCTACCGTTGAGGTGACATTCAAGGAATACGAAAGTGAACTTCAGATGCCCGATATTATGCGTGTTATTCAACGTGAACTGTCCGAACCGTATTCGATTTATACGTATCGTTATTTCATACACAATTGGCCAAAACTCTGTTTTCTCGCCATGGATGGGGACAGTTGCATCGGTGCGATCGTCTGCAAACTGGTAAAAAAAAACAAACAAAATATCTATATAGACTGTAGAATATGGATAGCCATCGATATCTGGTATCGATGATGTCTGGTAGATTAAGACTTCAAACATGAAATCAAACATATATAAATATAAATTTAACCGAAATAAATATAACAAACAGGATATTCATCGGCAAATGACGAAACGGGGCTATATCGCTATGTTGGCTGTTGACGCTGCTTATCGTAAACTGAAAGTTGGCACAACACTGGTGCAAAAAGCGATTGAGGTACATTTTGTTCCAGTAACATGTAACTTTTGCACATTTTTGACATGATAAACACTTTTTTTAGCTAGTACTTTGATGGACTTTTGCTAATTTAATGGTTTTTTTTTTCTTTTGCTTAGGCAATGCTTGAACACAATGCTGACGAAGTGGTGCTTGAAACGGAAATAACCAATATCCCAGCGTTGCGGCTATACGAAAATTTAGGTTTCGTCCGAGACAAACGGCTGTTCGATTACTATTTGAATGGAGTGGATGCTCTGCGACTTAAGCTCTGGTTCAAATGATCCAATTTGATAACTCTATACAGCAGGCCATTGTTCATCGTCTCAACTCAAATTACTCTACATATATATTTATAATTGTGGCACAAATACATCCAAAACGAGCAAAAAATAAATCCAGATCGAAATTTGTCATAGAACATATATATAAAATATTTAAATCATTAAGTCTCACGAACCCACACACACACTCGAACATATATACATAGTTGTTATCCTCTGTGCACAATATATGAAGTAAAAACACTCATTGTTAGAATGTAATCACCCAAGAATCGGTAGAGAAATTCGACCCAAACAACTTCATTACCGTAATAAGCCTAGAGTAGTGAGCTCTTATACATATAGTGCTAGACCGTTGACTTTGATACTTTGAAATACTGGAATTTACGACAGAAAAAAAAACAGAATGGTGGCCACTTGCCATCGGCAGATATCTTATACCGATTGTATGACCAACATTTTAAAAGCAAGTAGTGCAATTCGAAGCATTCATTTCAAATTGCAATCACATCACACTTCTAATCTCACAATCCTCATCACATCGATAGTCAGTTGAAAAATAGAAACAAAAACAAAAACAAAAACAACAACAAAACCAACTAATACACAAATTTTATCAAATCGAATTTATCCCGCTCATTTTAATTCAAAACATCTGGAATGAATTATGATTTCTATGAAATCCATGTTCGAGAAGAACAGAGAGAAAGAGAGACAGAGCGATGAGAGATTTTTTTTAAAGACAGTTTCTGCCCAGCAAAAGACCGTTAACTCTATGAATACTTAATTATAAAAAAATAAATAAATAATTTGATAAACATTGTTTACCATATCTCTTAACCTGTTTACCTAAGCGAAATCGATAGCATTTCATTGAAATGAAATCATGAAAATTTGCAATTAATCAACTAGATATGTTACGTTTAACGAGACAAAAAAAAACTCACTTTAATCAAAAATGGAAAATCGTGGCAATCAGCAAAAGAATCAATTGTTATGCTAAAAGTTTGAAAATTGTGTCAAAACCGTGTTAATTTATTCGTGTAAAATTTCCTGCAATCGATTTGATTTTCATTTTGAAGAGAATAAATTAAATTATTGTAGATTCGGCTTCAGTTTTGGTTGTGTGCTTTGATTGTGATGACGTTGAAGTTCTGATTGAATTGGTTTTAGTTTGCAAATAATTGTTCACCTCCCGAATTTAATTTAACATGCGATATATTTCAAATAAAGCGCGCATAAATTCAAGAAAATACCTGCATTTGTTTCATTTATTTTTGAAAAAAATACCCATTCTTTAGTTAGAAATGTATGATAAATAAATTACCGCATAAATTGAAAAAAATAACAGCATATCGTTTCATTTTTTGTTGTTAATTATTTTTGATGATAATTGCAAAAATAAAATTTGCCTATTTTTCTATTCGAAATGAATGTGAATATTAAATGTTAATCACTGATCCAATGACCCGAATATTCTTATTTTCGCCAGTATTGCGCCAATTTGTGTATTTGTTCCACCAGAGCTGGCATAACTGCGGTTATCGATAGATCCAATAGATTGTGTAAATGTTGCACTGCCTCTTCGTCGGTTAAGCCAAGCTTCAGATTCTCTTCGACTTTTTTCACCGCTTTGTCCGGCTCGAGAGCGATATCTAGGCAGGAAAATTTTAATTAATTTCTCTATTGATTCAAACGTGTTATTTGATGTTTAGTTTACTTACCCGGAACAGATGCGTCAACCATCAGCGAGAACAGATTGAGCATAACGTTTGCATGCCGTCTTAAATGTAGAAACGCAGTGTAACATTGTTTACGGAATTCATGATGATGATCTGAACTAACACCACCCATTGCTTCAACCATTTCCTTGCTGAGTTTCATTGGCGGTGGCATCGGCTTCGGATCACGCCCAAGAATATAACCGAAATCAATATGGAACAGTTTACCCGATGTTGTCAACAGTAAATTATCCAAATGTCGATCGCCAACTCCTAGCAAATACGTGATTACACAATATCCAGCACAGCTTCGAATATATGTATCCATTATATCGGGAGTAATGCCATATGGGCCCGTTTCACACGGATGATATTTACGGAAAAAGTTATGAATACTTCCCTCAGTTGCCAGAACTTCAGCCACTGTCACCGAATCGATGTACTGCATGAAACCATGTTTGGAACTTGTCGCCAAAACGCGGTACGGAGTCAATTTCAAATCCAAATTTTCTCGTCGCAACAGCTTGTCCATCAGTGTAATCATTTGTAAAATCAGTTGATCTTGTCTCAAGTCGTCACCGTATTTGAAAATCGCCACGTATTCATTGTTGGTGTTCGTAATAAAGCTTAATCTGTGCGAAAATAGGGAAAAAAATCGATTTTTTTTTTCAAAATTGAAATGAACCAAGAGAAAAAATCTTGATCTTACTTTGCTGGCATCAGCGCACTCTTAAACAGACTAACTTTCATCGGCACGATTCCACGAACTATAATCTCTGGATCGAGTGGCAGAGGAATTGCATCGAAATTCGAAAAATTAATGCGGAATGAATCACTGTCGCCCAGCAATTGTTGAAATTTCTCGCATTTTTTCTTACGATTGCCCGACTCCTTGAATACAATTTTCACGAGCTTCACCAATTCATCGATGAATAGCTGCTGCTTCTCCAAATTGATTTTGATCGCTTTGAGCTCAGCATTCGACATCAATGTTCGTTTGAAGGTTTTCAACACCGTTTCGTACATGTGCTTGACTCGTTCGTCTTGCTTGCGCACCGTGTCATGTGACTCACATTCAATGTACAAATACCAATAGAGATAGTTAGATAGAGTTGGATTTCGGCATGCGCGCTGTATCAAAAACGTTGCTAAATTGCATGTGGCTGGCGTTGACGACTCACTGATTAACGTTTGGCTGACATTCGATTGGTCAACGAGGGACGAGGTTGCATTCAGATCCGTGGCATTACTGGCGATGGTATGTCGACTCATATGTAGTGCACCGTCTTCAATTTGCGATGTAGCCATGTGACTCTTGTCCATCGGGCTGCGTTTGTGATGATGTTGAAGCGACTGAACCGTCAAATGATTATCGGAATGCACCGCTTGCTGTGAATCTGTATTCGATGAAAAACTGCTATTTTCCAAATTGTCACTGTCATCAATGGATTTAATCACATCACTGTCGGCAGCAATTCGATTATACGCTTCCTGAACATAGAAAGAAACAAATGTCAACATTTTGATAAAAGAGCAAGGAAAAATGTGATGAAACTACCTCAATATCATCAAAATTCTCGTATTTCAAGGCTTGGACCAATTGAAGTAAATATAGAACCAAATCGTCATCGGGTGCCTGTTTTAAACGCGTAATTGCGTATCTGCAAATGCAGTAAAAGTTAATATTTGTTCCACTAATAGAGAACAAGCAGCAGGAAATCAGTGTCGTCGTTTCTACTTACCCCCTAACAGCTGAATGCTTGAACGCTGGACTGAGGAGCTCAAGTGCATCTTCAACATCCATTGGTGTCCATTGTTTCAGCAGAATAATTGCTTGTTTCACTTCAGAGCTCGTTTCCCAGTTGATGCATTTCAGGAATTTGGTTAGGGCCTTTTTGTGGCCTGTCAAATAAAATCGATATTTCCACACTAAATCTTGTTCTTCGCTCGTTAGCGTTGTCGTTGGCGGATAGCATACGATTGTATGCAATTGATCTCGAACGGCTGCCGTTGGCTTAGCATCACGATCACTTAACCCCGAACGTGCTGAACGTGCAAGTCGATGATGTTTACGTTCAACTAAGTTCTCCTGCAGAACAAGCAAACAAACAATGAATAGGAAACCACAAAAACCAAAACGCGGTGGTTAATCACAGTGAGATAGTGTGAAACCTTATAATGTCATCGTAACCGTATCATATTACACGAGCGCAATGAACTTTTTCTGTGTGCAAAAACAATTAACCGTTGATGACAAAATGTGCGGAGATTTTCCACTTCACATACCATGAATGGAATGTTAGACAATTATTGTGACAGATTTTGCGTTAAAAGTGCCATTTACCTGCATAATTTCGGTATCAGGCACGGTAACCAGCTTCGGTTTCGAATTGAATTTGTAACGAAGATCTCCGTCGGGCTCGAAATACATTATGGAATACTGAAAGAAAATATTCAAAGTGGATTTGTGCACTTGTCATTCATTTGATACGTTTGTTTAACATACCGTTTGATTTGTTTGTTCACATAAAACCGTTGGAAATTCAATCAACAAATACATATTTTCGGATTCGCTCTTCTCACGTTCATTTATCATTTCGATTTCTCTGAAGGTCAGACGATCCAACCAATCGACTTTTGGAATTTGCCCATTACGATGTTTTTTTGCCAGTTTGGCCAACCGTTGCATTTGATTCTTCGAACTGTCTTTTCCTTTGCCTGGTGTTTTTGTATTGAAGTCTCCATCGGCATCCACATCCGCCCAAACTCGCAAATCAAAGTTACCCTGATGAAACATGATGAAAAGAGAGTTTAAATTATATTTTACTGCATATGACCCTAGTTACAAACGCTTCAGAAGAAACTAAATTGAAAATGGGCAATGTTCCAAGTTCGTGATTCACCTGACGAAAGACCCCATTTTTGCCAAATAAAGAGATGGTCGTGCCTCCAATTACAGTCACTTTGCCAGCGCCAGCGCAATCCAATATCGTAATAGCCAACATAGCACATTTTGGCAGTTCACTGAACAAATGAGGCAATTGTACCCATTCATTCCAACTGAAATTGCGCAAAATAACGCAAATATTAACTCGTTGTTCGTTGTTTAAAATGAGATGATTTCACTGAGAACAAAAGACCTACTTGTATCGTTTGGTGAATGCTTTGTACGCTGTGGTCACAGGCAATCCAATCGCTTCTCCGTTGTTGAATAATTGTAAGCGAACCAACAGTGGTGGGCACTGATCCAAATACAAACCAGAGAAACGAAGCAAGGGATTCTCGAGCAATTTTTCGTAATTAGGCTTGTGTTTCAGTCCTTCCAAAGTGCCACTAGAATGATTCCATGTTGAAACTTAAAATGTCGAAAATCCGATGAGCAAAAACTTTGGCCTCTACTTACATTTTAATTGTAACTTTGTGGTCAAGTGAAGAGCTGTACACAAATCGGAATGTACTTTCAGCCTGTTCCATGATTGAATTCCCGCACACACAAAAAAGGCAACGACTCAATCAGAATACGGATGCGTATTTCAAGTTATGCTTATCGAGACGTCTGAAAAAGTATTGTCATAACTGCACATTCGTCAGCCTAAAATGAATCTGCTGTTTTGTGTATTTTCCCCACTATGTCACTCACAGTCGCACAGTGCACACAAGCCAAACTAACAAAATAACCACAATAATGAGAGGTTGAGAGACAAAACAAGAGCTGCTGATATTCGATGCGTTTTCTTCAATTTGTCACTTTTGCGTTTATTTTTGTGCTGAGAACGGCAGTATGAGTGGCGATTCCTGTTTACAAGTCTCTCTTTGTTTGCATAATGTTCAACCAGTGAAATGTCATACGTTGTATTATTGTGTTGTCGAACTGTCAATGTCGAACTCACGCTGGTCGCTCACGTCGTGCATAATTAATTATAAGAAAAAAAATACATATTCAAATCTAGAGAAAGCATTTTTGGCGCAATTTTTATACAATGAGAAAATTCATACGGAACATTTCAAATGATTCAGTTTATTCAATTTGATTCTTATGAATAATTGTAATGATTTGTCATTTTTGAATGGAGTAGGTTATTTTATATACATTTCTATGCGAATATTCTGTTTTTTTTTTTTCATTCAATTTACAAAATGATTCGATTGCAATTCATTATTTATTTGTTTGTTTTTTTATTCACTATCAAAGTGAATATGAATCGATTCAATACTATGTGGGATTTGTATTAGCCAATGCAAAATTCAAAGAGGCGCGTCAAACTCGGAGCAAAAATATTTTCTTGGCTCAAAAGTGAAATGAATCCAAACTACAATCACATGGTTAGTTTGGCATTCATTCTTTTAAAATGATAAGAATAATTATTTTAGTCCCCACCGAAACCGTATATTATAGGTTAAGTGAACATCTTTCCAGATTAATTATTATCGCCCATCATTTACCGTTTCACTTGAGAGGCAGGAAAAATGGCCAGCCTTTTGCACTGAGAATGTCGTGCAACCGAATGATACTCAGTGAATTCCATTCAAACTAATACACATAGCTGAACACCGGGTTGGCAATTTTGGATTTGGTCGGATCTTTGGCAGCACATAGGATTGGCAAAATGCGTTTCATGAAGTCTTTCAGACTTTTTGATGGCAGCGGAAACTTGTAGAAGAAATTGTCGTTCAGTGCATTGCAAGCACTCAAACGTTTTTCGGGATTGCATCGCATAAGCTTGTCAAAGAAATCGTTCGCCTGATCATGTGTTAAGATTGGCGGCTTGTTCTTCAGATAAGTACGCGTTTTGCGAGTGTCATTGGGTAGCTGGCCAATTTGTTGGAAGCCGCGCAAATTCACGAGATTTGGCCAGTCATTCGGTGATATTGTTCCGCAAAGTTTGGAAATCAATTTGATTTGACCGAGCTCATTTTCACCGGGTAAAATGGGGTTGCGATTCCAAAATTCGCCCATCACACAACCAAGGCTCCACATATCAACACTTTCATTGTACTTGGTGTCATGTAACAATAATTCAGGGCACCGATACCATTGGGTCACAACGCAGGGAGTGTATCTTTCCTTTTCAAGGGAGTCTCCTGAATCGGTGAACTTACGCGACAAACCGAAGTCAGCGATTTTGACAACACCATCAACGGTCAGCAGGATATTTTCCGTTTTGAAATCACGATGCATAATCTGGAAACAATGTTGTTAAAATAAAAGAATGAAATAAACATAGAACATGAATCTCAGAAACATAAATTTTTCCCTGTATCAAATTGAAACTGACCGATTTTGAGTGCATGTAATCCAAACCGAGGAGCATTTGTCGAAGGAACGCTTTGATCTCGCTGAACGTGAAGATGATTCGTGTATTTGAGATGATTTTTCGCAAATCATACGGACAATATTCAAATAATAAATCCACCTGTAGATCATCTTCTGTGATTTGATCTTCACGGCCGCTCAACAACGTCACAATGTTATCACATTTTTGCAGCTCATGAAGGTTGTCATATTCCCGTTTGTGGAATGCCAGATTTTCTTTCTGTAAAAATTGCAACGAGAAAATTGATCGTTAGCATTTGGTTTTGTTGCTTTGGATCCTCATAGAAAATATTACCGCATGTGGCACGTTCAATTTGCAGATGAGACGTTTGATGGCAATCACTTCTTTGGTACTATTCCACACTGCTTTGTACACTTTGCCATATGTACCACATCCGATTTCCCGTAGCAGTTTGTAGTCTTTCGACGGGGATTCCGTCTCGACGGTTCGTCGAGATGAACCATTCGTAGACACTTTTATGGACGGCACATTTGTCTTAGCTACCTTGAACAGTCGTCCTCTTTCAAATTCCGACATGACACGCGCTTTACGTTTACCATTTTTTCGGCCATTCACTGCATCCTGGGCAAACGTTACGGAAATACTTACATTTTTCGGGGAGGCATCGACCTCATCGACCATTTCATATCCAAATCCAAATAAGTCGTCATCGTATGTGATTTGTTGCCGTTTCGGTTCATCGCTATGTGCATCAAGTGACTCGCAATCAAAAATACTCTTCGTTGCCATTGCTTACCTTTTCCCCTTTACTTTTATTTCGATTTACTTATCGTGCAATTGTTTTTTTCTATTCGGAATGCTACAAAATTTTCTACTTTGAATACGAGAGAGAACAATACTAAATTACGTTTGACATGATTGCAAAAACTCGATTGAATGATACGAATGGTTGTTGTTGCGGCTGTTGCTGCTGCTGCTGCTGCTGTATCGGTGTGTGGTCGAAAATCGTCACTAATCGATGTTGTAAAATTCCAAGAAGACTGAGAGTTGGTGCAGCAGTTGTGTACGCGACACACAATGTAAGACGTTGTGCTATGATTTAACGGTAAAATTAACAGCCGACACAAACCCAATCGATAGCACCAATCGAGATTGTTCGATGATCAATACATTTGCAAATGACTTCGACTCGATGCTTCGAAATAGAACAGAAAAAAAATTATGATTGGACATGTGCTTCTTGACGGAAAAAAAAGCAAAGCAATCAAAATCAATTATTATATAAACAATATAGGTCGGTGTTAGGAAAAATTAACTGAATCAGCAAAATGCTTATTTCCAATGCGTTACATGTCACACCAAGCAATTTTTTGAGCGCTGCACAATTTTTCTTTCAATTCTCTGGTAAAAATAACAACGCATGTGATTTTCGTTGAAATTCTGAAAATTTAAACGAATCGAATTTCACGAACAAAAACCCGCCGAAATGTATCTTCGACGAATCAAAAGCTGTATCAGCTCGATTTACTTCTGAATTCAGCTACATCGAATCGTCGTATTGAAACTGAGCCAAGACTTTGGTTTATTCAGCAGCACACACTCATACCGACATCTTCAACGTCATATTTACGTGTCCAGCGATTTGTTGTCATTACGTTGTGCATGCACGACGCTACTAGCGCCATTCGAATTCGAACGAACAGTTTGCTTGTGTGTGCGTACGACGCACATACACAAATCAATATGGTTACGGTGCTGCTGGTGTTCGGTATGGTTTGTTGAGTAAAAGAGTCGGCTGTTGTGTGTGCGTGTATATGTGTGCAAACGCTGAAAAAAAAAACAAGGAACGACAGACGAAAACACACAAAAGTCCATTTGTAAAGCGATACCATCAATTAAAAGCAGAACACGTCTCGAGTCGCTTGCATACAAAAAAAAAATAGCCAAAAATTGTGTGGTCTCTCAAGAGAATGGCAAATGAGATTTCCAAATGATTTGCCCGCTATTTGGAGTTTTCAATTGAATTTCAATTGTGCAGTGTGATAAAAAAGAGTGAGTTTTCAGTCGAAATCAAATCCAGTGCGTTTGTAACGCATTTGTATTTGTTGTTTATTGTGTGTAATATTTTCGCAGTTTGCGATTACGGTGTCGTCGAACGCCGATTCACGGGTTAATCGAAATTTCTAGGGACGAATCAAAACATCCGAACTCGTTTTGAGTAAATGGAAATTCGTCGGAAAAATTGCCAATCAAAGTAATTCACTTGAAAATCAGAGAAAAAAAAACGCAAAATAGCATTTCGATGAGTTTGCAAAGGGGAAAAAAAAATCAAACCGAGCGAACATACATAGCGAGTGAGAAACGTCGACATATTTTTTTTCCGTTCTAGTCGGTCGTGCCTGTCACACTGTATCAAAGATATACGCATACACATTCAGCGTATGATTTCAAACGAAACGAAATAAGAAGTCAAGTGTGTGTATTTCTCATGTGAATGGCAGAAGAGCGTTGAATTTTGTGTGATTGTGAGTGAGAGAATTCCTCGGAGTCAGCCGCAAACAGTACAAACAGGAAAAGGCAACAAAAAGAAATTCGAAAAAGAAAAAGAAGAAGAGAGAAAAAAATATATCTACGTATTCTCAATCCGAAAACGAATATATAGATTTCTATATGAGTCGTGCTTCATGTAAAACGCAACGCGACATCGTCGCCGCTCATTTATTATTTTGATTTTAATTTTCTTTCCTTTGATTTTTTCAGTTTTTTCTGTGTTCTGGACATTTAGTTAAATATTTTTCCGTTGTGCATTCACTTAAATAATCAATCCCGTTCACTCTTTTTTTTTCTGTTCTGTTTGAACCGTGCCTTTTAATTTATCATTGAGTTTGAGGGGAAAAAGTGCTCTTTTTTGTTTAATACTCGGTAATCAATTGAAACTTTGTCACGACGCGTTTCGTTGGTGTGAAAATTACTAAAATCCAAAAGTAAAATACGCGTCAATTGATTGTTAATCGATGCAAAATAAACCAAACGGAATTAATTGAGAACAAAACGACGAAAAAGGCAGAATAATTTGGATTTCGTCGCAAATACGGAATCAAGAGACACAGAGACAGAAAGAGAGAGAAAAAACACACCGAGAGTCAGAAAGCAGTGAACCATTTTCGATTGTCATCGACCGATAACGACCAATGTAAGTACATTACCACATCCATTGACGATTAGTACGGAATTTATGGCAGTTGTTGTTGTTGTTGTTGTTACTGCAGCCGTCGTGTGTCTATTTGTCGCGACTATTTTGCGACTTTAATTACCTTTCACTGAATGTTCATGCCATTTCCTCTGTGTGCATCGTTACCACGCATATTTTATGATCATATCGATTTGCAAACTCTAGTGGTTGGCATTCCACACACAAAAACTACAACACCAACAACATCAAAATAGTTGAATTACGAATGTTTACACGAAAAAAAATTGGAACATGCATATTGCATATGAAATTTCGAGAGATGCAAGCAGGCAAGCAAGCGAGCGAGCGAGCGAACGAGAGACACGAAGTGAAACGTCACTTGATTGTAGTACAATTTTACATTGGATTTTGGGTCAATATTTATTCTCAATCACATTGCTTGCAGATCGCATTCGTACCGATGCACCAGTATGGTGCTCTCTCATGTGTGCTTGCAGCAATTCTCCTCTGCTTCCATCGCACAAATGAATTTGTTAAGCACTCTTTTTTCCTCTGCTATCGCATTCGTTCTTTGTTCTTTTTATCCCTCCTATCGAAATATGTACGCAAATTAACATTCTTTGCATTCATAATTCGCATTTGAAGAGAGCTTAATTCTATTTTCGTTGCCGTTTTTTCTTCTTCTTTTCTTCTTCTTCTATTCTCTTCATATTCTTCTTCTGCGTTCTGCTTGATTATGTTGTTCCAATGTGAAACGGGAATGGTTTGATGTGTGTGTGTGTGTGTGTTCGTGTACGAATTGGTGAGAGCGAGATTGAGTGAGTAATCCAAGAGTGTATTTGTTCGTATGTGCATAGAAGAATGGTGATGACGATGATGGCTATAACGATGTCTTGTCTGCTCCATAACATCAAGTGCTAGAATGATTTGTTGTTGGCGATGGGGCGAATGGTGTGACAGCTATGCCGATTCTCTGTTTTAACAGAAATCACATTTGATATTCACGTTTGGTGTCGCTCTCGTTGTTCGTGTGCGTTTTTAACAATTCTTTCTATCGAAAGATGGATTTTTAAGTGATAAATTCCATAAATCACTTATTTTACCACACACGCGCACACAACGATGTAAGAAGATACATTTTAGTTACAATTTGATGGAATTTTTCCTCAATTAGATAAATCAATTTTAATTTATGTCCCAATCAAATGACACACAACAAAATTTCATTGCCATGACTGTCATCCATGTTTATTGATTGAGATCGATTTTGGAGCAAAATGTTTATGGCGTCGCCTTATCCATGATTATTATCGGTTTCAATTACTCATTTAGAGTTAAATGTCATTTGTCTGCTTTTTTTTCTGTTGTTTGTGTCATAGACTTCTGTTGTGTGTATGTGATATTGTGTGTATTTGTACAATCGGCATTCGGAATGCGACGGACACACATGGAACATTCATCTATATGGAAAACGAAACGCCACTTCATTGGTTCGTGACACTCTCAAGTTCATTGACCACAAATAAGCGAGTTTGAAGCAACCGACGACGAAAGAAAACCAACAACACCAAAATGAAAATGACATGATGACTATTGCGAATTTAAAATAAATTCACTAGAACCCAATTTTCAAACCGGTTTTTTTTAGTGCGGTACGATGTCAAAACCGAACAATTAACATATTCAATAACATAATACGTATGAATTTGATTTGGTATTCGTTGCGCTCAACTGAAAGTGAATATTTCGTCATTATCGCCATAAAACAATAAACTACATGATAAATAAATTGTATGAAATCAAAAACCATTTTGATTTCCTAGAAATGACCTTTTTTTATTTCGGTTCGAATGCAGTTTTTGCAACTTTCAGCAGAAAACAAAAAGCGAAGAAAATCGGCCACACAACGGGCTAGCCATTCCAATAAATGTGGAATTTGATTTGCATGTAATGTGGCACATATTCGATCGTACCACCACATTGTTAACGAGGTAAAAAGCTGCAAATCAGCTGCACAAACACATACCAAAAACATAAAAAGACACCATCGCCTAAAAGAATGCATCGTAAATCATGCCGCAATCATTATTTGCCATAAGAATATACGTACGCCACACGGAATGTTCTGTAGAACCGGATCGACCGGTGAACGTGGCTTTGGCTAGCAATCTTTCTCACTCACTCGCTCGCTCACTCGCCCGCCCGCTGTGTATGAGTTTGTGTGTGACCTTTGAGTATGAATTTTTAGCCACGTATCTGGAATGTGCGATGTCACCAATCTTTTTGTATTTTCGTGCACATTTTTGCGTCGCTGTCGTCGTCGTCGTCGTCGTTTTTGTCTGTTTTTCACCGTCGAACCGAAATCTGTTTATGTTCTCGCGCAATAATTGGCAAATACTTACTTTTTGCAGAGTACACTTTGTCTGTGTCTCATATTGCAATAGTCGATGATCGGTAAGATGGCAACAACTGAGCAGCGTGCCTGCGTTTTTTATTTTCGTTCATGATTTACGAAATGGCTTTTATGTCACGCGTGTAAGAATCTTATTTGACAATGTCAGCGAAACATTTCTTTAAAAATAAAACAAAATCAGTTGGATGAATTATAAACCATTCACTTTCGAAACAAACAAAAAAATTGAATTCAAAATTTAATTCAATTTCGAAGTGAAAAAGAATTAATTCACATTGATTAAATGAAAAATGTCTGTTAGCTAATATTGATCTTTATCTCGATTAAAGGGCATTTTTTGTTTCACTGCTTCCAAATAATGATGTGAAAAATAATTTGCACAGAAAAAAAAACCGAAACGAAAAAAAAGAATTCCCATTCAACTTTTGGCATCACAAAAAAGCATTCTCAACCATTGAACGTGTTGTTGGAATTGAAAAGTAGATGATATACAGTGCCGATCAAAAGTTTGGGTACGATTGAAAAAATTGCATTTTTCGACAAAAAATGGGATTATTTTTATAAAAACTGAATATATTTCGGTTTCAATTCGTAAATCTTACGAAAATAAATCATTTTAGACTTGAAATGTAGGATGTTAATGGATTGGTTTGTGAAATTCGATCAAAAAATAGTAAAAATTGAGTTCATTTTTTTGTATGAAAATCATCTGACTTGCTACCGATCTCCGACCATATTATCAACTACTGTGCACGCAATTGTTTGGAAATTACTCAAAATGGCTCGTACACAATCCAAAATATCTGCCACAAGTGGATTTTTGCAAATTACGTGAGATTTCTTTTTGCTGTGCGAGCAAAAATATTTTTTTCACAAAAATGGTGAAACTACATGTAAATATTGACCAAAATAGAAAAACTTTCATTTTTCATCCAAAGCAATGAGAAATCTTATATAATTAAAGAAAATCCACTTGTGGCAGATATTTTGGATTGTGTACGAGCCATTTTGAGTAATTTTCAAACAATTGCATGCACAGTAGTTGATAATATGGTCGGAGATCGGTAGCAAGTGAGATGATTTTCATACAAAAAAATGAACTCAATGTTCACTATTTTTTGATCAAATTTCTCAAACCAATCCATTAATATCCTACATTTTAAGTCTAAAATGATTTATTTCCGTAAGACTTACGAATTGAAACCGAAATATATTCAGTTTTTATAAAAATAATCCCATTTTTTGTCGAAAAATGTCATTTTTTCAATCGTACCCAAACTTTTGATCGGCACTGTATATGCAATAGTATTGAAGCAAGCACGGAACAAAAAGTTTGGTTTGAATATATAGGCATACAGACATACACACGTATGAATCGGCAGAGGAAGTACGAAATATACGATCGAAAAGTTATTCATAGAGCGGCAAGTGAGAGCGCTTTAAAGCGTTTGTTATATTTTATGAAGGAGAAAGAGAAACCAACCGACAAATAACAACCCATAGCAAAACGCAACAGAGCGACAGAAAAAAAAGTTGTACAAAAGCGCAGAAAAAAAAGACAAACGAAAATTATATTAGTTGACCGGCTTTGCGATAGTGATTAACGGATGCCGCATAACCGGCTATATGAGATCATCCACTAGTTTGATGTGTGCCCACGAACTCGATCAAACTGATTCATATATGTATGTACATTGTACAACAAATCCATGCCACGCCCCGTTAAGCACAGCACAACACAACGGTTACAAAGCATAGAAAAACAAGTCGAGAGAATTATACGCCGCTCATACTTTTGAACTTAAGCAAAATGAAGTTGCTTTTGAACTATTCAGTCTAACTACAAAATGAAGCACCAAAAATTGTCGAGGCAGCAATAATCTTGTTCTTTCGAATCCACCACATCGCCATTGTGAGCAGCAGCCGTAGCAGTGGCGATGACGGCGTCATTTTTTTTTCTATGTATCATTGTTTGATTTGCGTCAGTCGGTTTAGTGTTAGTTCTTCATTGGATCATTCAACAAAATTCTGCGATAAGGATCGACAGATTACGCCACAAGTGTGAGACAGAAAAATGTGAGCCAATAAACTACTTCCACATGGAATTATCATGATTTTTTTCTTCTATTTTTACACATTATTGCTTCCAACGAATTACTGTTTTACATTATTTGCTGTCGTCAAATGATTCTTAGTCACAGATCACGCGAACCTGCACAAATTATCACATTCCAAAAATCAGTTGGGATTCCAGTGGCCCCGGTTCGTATACGTCTAATTCATAGAAAAAATAATTAGCAATTTAATGAAAATTGATACGGCATATGTCGCATATTGCTACTGTGACTGAAGCATACAAATTCGATGAGCCACTTGTGACTCATTGATGAAATACAGTATACATTTTACTCATTTCAGCATTGTTCATTTTCAATCTAGTCAAATATCCATCTAATCAATTTCTGTTTCGGGTTTTTTGGAATCGAAATAGTGGGAAAAAAATTGCAAAGGCACACACACCAGCATATGTGGCTAATTAAAGCGTTAATAAAACGACCCAAACCAGACAATATTGATTCCACATCCCACAAAACCATGATACGCCCGCCCGTACCGATTTAATTTACACTCTCATTCCGCCTGATTATTACGATAGCGTTTCAGCATCTAGTGCATGCATACATGCTCGCTACATTCTCCATGTACGTGATTTTAAATGCATTCACATCCAATTTGACTCTTCAATTATATGCACACGCCGTTGTGAAGGGGAGCAATCAATAAATGCACTCACGACTTGAAATGTGCCAGAACAAGGGCAATAGCAAATGAATTATAGCTGAAAACGAAAAAAAGCAAAAGTAAACGAGAGAGGCAGAAGGGGAGAGAGACACAAAAACACGAAATATATTTCGCTTGAGCACTAAAAGATCATCAATGAATGAAAATGGCACAACAAAGATAGCACACAATGCTCCGCACATTATAAGCACATGCTATCATTGTAACGGTATATCGGTGCTATTAACTGAAATTAGTTTCTCGGGATGTTTTATCGCTTTATGATTGTGAGCGATTTCTTTTTATCGCTTTACGAATTTGCATAAGTAATTTTGTAAATTCGAGCGATTCAATGCGATGTGTGTGTGTGCGTGTGTGTGTGCACGCGCGCAAAAACACGATCATTTGACATTTAGTGGTTAAGATATGGAACATTCAATGCCTACTAGTTTTGAGACGTACAGCTGTCCATGACCTAACACATTTAAAAAACCACCTATACGAATGAAGCCGGTCACGACGAGAGAGAATTCATGGATATATGGTTTAATTTAATGCGATATTCATTTGAACGGATGTGTTGAAAAATTATTATTATTCAACGCTCTATTGCATTTTGTCTATAACTCAACGGGGGCCGATTCTTTGTGCTGCATTTGTCCTATGAACTCGAGCACGCATTAAATTTCTCTCTCTCTCTCTCTCTCTCTCTCTCTCTCTCTTTCTATTACATTGTCTATCGTTCACACTCTATCATTACAATAAATATTATAGCGTGATTTTTGTACGGCATTCAAACCGGAAAATTACGCGTTTGATGCTCGAAAGTGTGAAAAATACATGTGCATTGAAATAACGGCATGCAGAGAACAAAAGGCGAATCGCAATGAAAAGGAACAATTTATATATGCATGAAAAGCAAAACAAAACATGGAATTTGTGTAATTACACCATTTTTTTTCTTTATTTCTGTACACTTTGTATTCGCGTTTTCATTTCATGCAGCATCCATGCATATATTCACAAACGCACAAGGATTGCAAAATGCTATAGAACTCGTAGAGAGTATTTTTTTTCCTATTTGCTCTTGAAATAAGCACCATTCGATTGATTCGAATCGCCGGATAAATAAACAAATGGCAGAGTGAAAAAAAAAAAAAATACTTTGCACCAAAGTCGAACAAGAGACGGCAGACATAAATATAGCTCCATTGAAAATTGCAGCTGCTTGCTTTCGAAATATCTTTATTTTCGATTTTGATGAAGACACAATTGAATCAACGGAACAGCCAAAGTATTGTTGCTGAATATTCGTCATCGTTTATTTTGTTTTTAAATCGAAACTGACATGGACCGTCAATTTATAGCAATTAACATTCATTTGATTTCTTTCGTCCGAACAGAATGGAACTCCAAATTTATCTGATCATCGTAGCGATTTTCTTCATTTCGCTTGGCTCATTGGTTTTCGTCAATCGACAGCTACGTAGTGGCAAAACATTTGAAGAAGCACTGGCCGAAAAGCGACAATTGACCGAAAAATTGTACGGCAGCAAGAAGAAAAACACCACCAAGAAAGCCAATACGGGCAAAAAGGTAAATTGGATTTGTTTATTTGTATAATAAGCAATTTGTCTCAGGCAGACAGTTTACTCGAAGAAGAAAAAAATGAAAACAATGAGCAATTTATTATCTTTATTTTCTGTTTTCAAAATAGAACCGTGATCGAAAAGATTCGAAACAGAAGAAAGATGCTCAGCAGCCATCAGCCGTGGAAAGTGATGGTAAATCCGATAGCGGTTCTGAGAATGACTTGAGTGCTTCGCCCCATTCCAATGATGGCAAGGCTCACGTTGAATTCACCGAAGAAGAAATCATTGCTCCCGACACCAACACCATTCAATTCAAGGTAAAATATTGAATAATCTTATAATATGACCAAAAAATGAAACTGCGCACGCCGACGCAAAAATGAAGTCAATATCATTTGAACAAAAATGGTTTATTCTGGATTATTTCAGAATTTATAATAATTTCTTTGTTTTTTGGCAGCGTCAATTGTCTACTGGAAAGATCAATCCTCAAGTTCGTAAATCAAGCACAACAAAATCGCCTGGCTCGGGAATTCTTGTCAATAAATCGACCACTGCTGCCAAACCAGCACCACCAGCCAATGGCAACATCGAGACATTGAATCACTTTGAGAAAATTCATCCAAAAGATGACTTGGAAATCAAAAAACAACGCGATGAATCTGTTGGCCGAACCACAAACAAGAAGGATAATAAGAAAGGTAGGTGTTTTGTTGGTTGAACTTAATTTTTGAAGATTTTTTTTTTTAATAAGTCAAATTGAAAAAAAATGTTTATAACATTTCCATTAATAACCACAATCCCATCCAATCTACAGGAAAACCAGCTAAAAAGGATAGTTCTCCTGCTACCCCATCAAATGCCGTTGAGAAAGTGGCCAACATTGGAAATGATGCTGTTGATGCTCATTTGACCGTTCCCCTTGAGGTTGTAGCCGCCTCAGTGGTAGCTGCACCAAAAGAATCGCCGAAAAACACCGCCAACAAAGAGAAAGTCAACAAGAAGAAACGCAACGACGCCATTTTGATCCAACAATTGGGTAAGTTAAGAGTTCAAATAATCTCAATTCGCAATCATACACCAATTCAAACCATTTCAATTGAATTATATATTTGAATCGATTTTGTCTTGGCTGCATAGTCGATGCCGGTGTTGCTTCATCAACTTCCGAAGCGGTGAATGTGAACGCAATCATCCAGCAATTGGGCCGTGTCGAATTAACTCGCAATGAAATTCAGATTTTGATTGATTTCTTGTTGAACAAACAACAAGATACTGGCAGTGTCATCCATTCCGACTGGAGCGATGATCCAATCCATAAATTGCGTAATCAGCTCGAGGAGAAGGATCGCCTTCTGGCCGAAGAGCAAAAAGCCATGCTGGCAATTCAGACGAAATTGCGTGAATTGCGCACTGAATTGAATGCTGAACGAGCTCAAGCTTCCCATCTGAGAAATGCGCACGTCGAAGAAATGAATGCTTTGAAATCCGAATTGAGTCAAGCGCAACAAGATCGTCAACTTGTTGTCGAGCGTACAAACCATGAAAAGCAGGCGCTGAACAAACAGTTACAGCTTTTGCAACAAAAGCTATTCCAAGAGCAAAATACACAGTCGCAAGAGTCAACGCAACAATTGCAACAGCTCACCGACGCTCATGCACAGCTCTCCGCTGAACTGTTGAACAAAAATAATATCATTCAAGATATGCAAGAGAAATTCCTTCAAATTCGTGACGAGCACCTGAGCAAAGTGAACGAAAGCGAACAGAAATATCAGGAGTTGGTGCACAAAAATGAGCAGGAGATTGCATATTTGAATGGCGAAGTGTTGCGTTTGCGCAACGAATGCCAACGCAAAGACGAATTAGAAAAATTGTACGCAATGAAAACCTATGAATTCGAACAATTAGAATCACGTTTGAATGAACAAAACAAACAATCGAATCAAATTGAAGACAGTAGCAAAGTGGAGATAAGAAATCTACAAAATGCCCTCGATTCAACCAAAACCGAACTCACACTCAGTCGTAATGAATTGGCCGACAGTTCAAAACGTATCGGCGATTTGAATTCACAGTTGAGCGATTTGAAATCCACATACGAAGCAGAAAATTCAACGGTTGTTCAGAAATATGCTAAGCAGGTAAGTGAAACGACACAATTTTACATGAAATTTTCATAATTCGTTATTGATCGCTGGCAATGTTTAACGGTTCTGTTCTGGATATATTTGACAGATCGAAGAACTAAATGGTACCATTCAGACGTATCGTACGACAATTAGCGAGAAAGAAGCAAAACTGAATGAGTTACAATCGAAATTGGAGAATACAGCTGTTGATCAGCGTGAACAAGAGTTATTCAAACAAATCACCGACTACAAGGAGAAGAACAACGTGAGTAAATACCATTAAAGCCAGAGAAATTCTAATAAAATTCATTTTTGTTTCTGTATATTTTGCATGGCTTAGATCTGCTTGAAGGTGTCCAACGGCAAACGGACGCGATCCAAACAAAAAAAGATTTCTTACCTTGGATGCTTTCGAAAGGGCTCGAATAATTGAGCTTTGTCCATCTTAGTCATATCGTCTGTATTTTTGTTCGTTCGCGTCCGTTTGTCTTTGTCCTGAAAACAGTTTCAAGTCACGTTATTGCTTGAATTTGAGCCTAAACCACTATCATCATATTCATTCGCACTATTCAATACTTCTATCGAAAACTTCACATTTTCAATTGATGCAATTGAGAATAAATTAAAACCAACCAAAAAAATTTCAATATTTACTACGAACAATGTTATAGGAATTGCGTAAGAAAAACTGGAAATTGATAGATGCATTGCAAAAGGCCGAAGAGTCTGCCTATAAAATCACTTCCAAATGCAAATTAGTTGTAAGTTATTATTACTTTATATTCCTACCACTTAAGTCAAATGTCTCACTCTCAGTCAATTTTCCCGCGTTGTGAGCCATCTCTCACAAATTCAGTCAATATTTTGTGGAATGTGTTTTGTTTCGTGATTTTAGCCCAGTATTCGTTTTCAGCAATTTTGTGTTTGTTTGAAATGAATGTATGTTTGCAATGTGTTTGTGAATGTCCTAAGCGACTGGCTGTTGACCTTTCAAAAAATTTGACGACATTTTTTTTTTATCTTGTTCTCGTTACAGACCGCAAATGCGAGCCTTTCACCATCGAAGATCACAGCACCAGCTCCATCGAATAATAATGTTGAGCTAGAGCATATTTCGCGCACAAAACAAGTGTTCGAGCGCCTGTTTCCAAACGTTCCATCCAGCAATGTGGACTACGACGCATGGTTAGCCAATGTATCCAGTCACATAGAACAATTGCAGCAACAGCAACAACAAAGCCAACAGAATCACCTGAAGAAGAGAGCAGCTGTTGCATCAAATAATCACCAAAATGGTGATGACGAAGACAGCGACTCAGAGGAGAATGTGACTGGTAATGGTACGCATCATCATGAACAGGATAATGGCAAGCTCAGCCCATCCGAAGAGCTAATCCTGCAGAATGCGCACCTAAAATCCATTGTCGCCGAAACGAGTGAGATACTAACCTCACTGGAGAAGAAAGCCTGTTTACAAGATGCCTACTGGCGTGGCGTAGTTCAATTGAAAGACAATGAAATTAGATCGCTGCAACAAAATTCAGTAGCAAGCACCACATAATAGTTAGCTCATGTACACAACAACGCGTAAGGAGAAAACGAAGTTCTTCATTTCTCGGTTGTTCTGATTTGTTTTATTTTTTATTCGAAGAAAAAAAAAGAGAGAAAAAAATAGTATGTACCCACATTCAATCGTAGACACACAGACACACACACTCGCATACGAAACAAAACAAACCTGTTGAAATGATGAGATTGAGAAGCTTCTATTGAATACAAACAACAAACAAATATATATATATATAGTATTAAATGTTAGCGGCATTCAGTCTCAGCAACACTCATCGAATGTATAACATTGTCATGGTGCATCTAAACGGAATAATAATTTTTGATATACTGAAACAAAATAGCAATGATTTGTCATTTATTCTTGCAAAACCACAAGAAGAAGAAGAAGAAGAAGAAAATATAAGGAGCAAACCACTTGAATAAAAGCAAAAAAATCCGGAATCAACACACACGATTATATTTCGAAAGTGAATATGAGTGATAAATGGATCATAACATTCAAAACTAATGACATTTTAGGAGCATAGCCTAGTATATTTTTATTTACGGAAGCATATTAGCGGAAAACATAGGCAAACAGCAGTAGATGAAGTTTGAAGTGCGCGCCACAGATGTAGTTGTGGCATTTTAAGGTGCTACCAATCGAATGCATTTTCCCCCACACATCACCTACACCATCGAAACGGCACTGATAACGACCATTTCCCACACACTCACATACACTGAATGGTACCGAATTTCCAACGACTTGAATCAAATCGAAAGAGACAAACACATCCATACACTTCGATCTCCTTTCGTATTTCGGCCACTTGTAAAACATGCGAAATCAATTGGATGTAGTAGCAAATGTACCGCCACAAAACAATGCAATACATTTCAAACGTGATTTAAATTTTAAAAATAAGAGAAAATAAACAAACAAAAAGAAGAAAACAAATAAACGGAGATTTATACGCTAAATAATGTTATTGCAATGCAACACACACATACACACAAACTGAATGTCTGTTGCACCCGGTTTAGTGTGAAAATATAAAATAAAATCAATATAATGTTAATTTAAAAGAAACAAAACAACAACATAGGCACAATTAGAACCAAATCGATGAATCTATCGATTATCCATTTAAAAGCAAAAAGAATTCCTTTCGAAAATGCATTGAATCATCAATAGTGACGCATAGAATGCAAATCATAGTTTCCTCTGACAACAAAACCACAGAATTGCAAACGATTGAGATTTGTTATATTAAGTTGGCATAAAAAAGCGAAACAAAAAAATCAGATTCTTTTTCTCTCTCATAAAGAGAACCAAAAGCGATGTAGAACTTTTGTTTTTCATTTGTTGAAATTGTATGTATATTTTCGAAGAACCCAATAAATTACGTTTATTTTTTACTTTGAACATGAACATTTGGAATAGATGGCAAAGAAAACCGTTCGACCACACTCACTGTAAGAACATTTTTAACAAATCTGGTGCATCACGAATTGCGCACAAGTTTTTACAAAGCAATAATCCTGCCAACGATATATTATTAATGAATGGTATGACTCATTTACAGGTGAACAGATCCATTCAAATGGACATGTATTTGAAATACTACAATACAATCAATCACCTGTTAGAATCGCAAGAATTAAAAAAAAACACAAAAAAAAAATAAGAGAAAACTCCTGATCAGATAATGTTGTGTGTAAAAGTGAGTAAGAGAAAGCGAGCAAGTGGAAAAAATAAAAAAAAAATTAGCAAGTTAATAAAATATAAATAGAAGATGAAGCAAAATGAAATTTATATAAATATAATCATTTAACAAACAAAAAATGAATGAAAAAAAAAACGATGAAAAATCACAATAATTATGGAATAACAACGTAACACCTAAATAACAATTCAAGTAATGTATCTAAATAAAAAAGAAAAACACGTAATTTAAACAAATTGATTTTTTATTCAATCCATTCAAATGATTTTCTTTTCAGATTTGGAGAAAACGTTGGTTTGTATCGTTTTTTTTTTAGTAATTTTTCTAATAAAATTCTACTGTTTATTAAAAGAAATGAGAATATTTGGTATTTATGGTAAATGTATTACGGAATATTTTTTCTTGATATGAATTATAAAATATTGAGTGCTTAACAATTGATTCAATATTACCAACCCACTACAATATATGGAAAAATTAAGTATGATTTTTGTTCAAGTCGATACAGCTTATAATCTTTTCATAGAGATCGCCTTAACATGGTTGAAAATATGGTTTAGAGAATATATATTTGGCACTTATGCATTATCAACGAATGAAGTAAGTAACCCGTGCCCGTTATCTGTGTGCAACAGTGATACGAATACTTTCTCCTTTTGGCTTCCTATCGACGATAGGCTTTCATTGACGGTGTGCGCCTTAATGTATGAAGTTTGATGATTTTATGATTATAGTATCTGGGAGACTGAAACGAAACACAATTCAAAGTATTTTTTATTTTAAAGCGAATAGTAGAAATACAATGAACATTTACCATGAATCGTGCGTGAGTCGTATTGTTGCTTGTCATGCGCTAGTGCCTTGTTCAAGAATTCCTTTGAACTGACAAAGAATGTGGCTTCCATTGCACCATTCTTCTTTATATGAATGCCATTTCTACCGCCAACAATGATGACATTTTGGAAAAATGCGCTGACATCTTCTGGTTTCACTTGCCATGGAAAACCTCGAGCCAAAATTCGATATACACCATCGTCCATTTTCAAACTGATTGTTGAACTGTGAATTGCCCTCTTTTTTGGAGCTGAGCAGGGGTCAGAAAAGTCATTTTGAAAAAAATTGTTTGATTTCTTTGGAATATGTCAAAATCTGCTTCAATTAAAATAAATAGGCCACAAAAAAAAAGTACTCACACAAATCTGGAACTGAATTCACACGAATTGGCATGGAATTCGGCACAATTTGCGGATTTTGATATGCCGTTACTGATGCGTTATCACAGTAGTGACGGAATTGTTCCTCGGAACTTCGGAATGCTTTCACAAGAGTTTTGCGAATTTTTTTGCCGTCCATTTGGCGCAAGGCCAACTCCACTTCGTAAATGTTTGCAAACATAACAAATGCTTCACCAGTTTGCCGCTGCGATTTATCCAGCACCAAATGAACTTTCAAGATTGTGCAACCTAAAATGCGTAACACAAGCCATTCATTGTCATATTCTTTTTGAAATGTCAATATAAAAACAAACCATTGAAATAATTCTTTATTTCCATCGTAGAACAGTTTGGTGGCAGATTTTCGAGCCTCAAAGCGCGTTGTTCCGCTGGATAACTTGATTTGCTTATCAAAAATATGAATTCAATCATGTTGGCCTGTGATACTTCAAACCAAAAGAAATTATTACTCTTGTCCATTTTTCAAATAATTTAAATTTGAAATGGCATTACTTTTGACGGATGAAAAACCCATGCGAATCACTTTAAGATTCATGGCCAATCGATAATCTTTTTCACTCGCCAATTGGATGAGGGCATCATTACAGCTGTTCTTTGTCTTGTCGACTATGAAATGAATGCCATTTATGCCATTCAAAATGTTAATATCATCGAAAAAGTCCAGAATCTCCTCTTTCGTTGCGACCCATGGAATTTTACTAGCTCGAATCAAGTATGTTGAGTCATAGTCGAATTGAGCTGGCTCTTTTGTTTTGCTTGCCGATCCGGAATCACCGACAACTTTGACCACGGACGGAGTTTCTTCGACTTTAATGTAGCCTCCTGAAAGGGTAAGAGAAAAACTCAATACGACGCAATATGTAAATCAAACACAAATTCAAACCTGTCATGAAGCCCATAGTGACTGGATATTTTGTATTTTTATCAACCGTTTTGTATTCAGAATCCATTGTCTAGAACGAAAATATTAAATTGAACATCGTTTTGAATTCAATTGAATAGCTTCATTATACCATGTCTTTTGCTCCGTTCGTTTCGACACTGGCCTTTCGATTGGTTGCAATTGCTGGCAGACCATTGCCATTAACCATGGCTTGCTGATGTTGTTTATGCGCATGGATATTTCTTTGCAAATGTGCTTCAAGATCATCTTTGGACAGGCCAATTTGTTCCTAAACAAATACAAATGCGTTAAAAGTTGGATATTTTGGATATTTAGAAGTTATTCTGATGCTCACAACACACAAACGGCACACGATATACTGGCGCAGATCGAATTGTTGCTCATTCAAATCGAAAAGGAATTTAACGCTGTCATGTTCTGCCGTTGCAATTATTTCGGCATTCGTAATTAAGTAATCAATATGTAATACCGCATCTGAGAGCAGTTCGACTGTTTTTTCATTGATTTGAGCATTCTTCCGTTCGGAATACATGCGCAATCGTTTTAAAAATACACCAATTTCAATGTTCAACTGCTCAACATCCATTTTACACCAAAAAATATTGCAAATCTTGTTGATTGTATTTCGATTAAAACCAATTATGCTTTAATTTCACCACAAAGGCTTATACTTGCCGCAACGAATTGATTTTTTTAGTTTACAGACGCTAAAATGACAGTATCAATTTCACACGATTTGCAAATGTCACTTCAATAACAACAAATCCAATGATTGCACCAACCAATACAAATACATTGCATTTGGTTTGACGTTTGAATGTGCGAAGTCTGATTATGTGTGCGTCGACTGATTGGCAAGTAAAGCACGAACGTCAGAACAGCTAACATCTTTAAGTTTCATGAATTTGAAAAGGGTAGCTCTTTCTCTGATAAATCGAAAACATTGCAAAATGTTTTGAAATATTAAAACTAAAATAATAAGGTAAGGTTTCCTTAAATGGGACACACTTCGACATGGTTTTTTATCTTTGACTAGTGGAAATATTTTCGAGAATGTGATATACCGTTGGAAAGAGGATGAGCAAAGGAACATTGTTGCCTAAGACAGTTTTTTATTTACATTACAAAAAAAAATTTATCGCAAAATTTCTGACCATATCGAAAATCGGAAGAAAAAAAATTTGGCTCTTTAAATGGGACACTCCGAAAAACTGAAAAATAAGCGTGAAAATGAAACCATAAGATCATATTTTGAATGTTTATTCATTTTATCGACGTTTGGGTGACATCACAATTCACACTTGTGATGAGACTAAAATTTCATTTGATGTGTTGTTGGAAGCA